CATCTCTCAATTTTAATGCCATTCATCTTCCTGAAAACTCAATGGAACGTTGTAAGATTGTACTGTGGATAAGCTACGGTACAGGTTAAAGATGTTTATAATGGAAATAAGTGAAATCTCAGAATATCGAAATCCTCGGTAATCCCTAGCTCGCAAGCTAGGAATCAAGGAAAATTCTCAATCTTAAGATTCCATTTCTCCTGTCGAAAACATGCTTACCAGTGCCGTAGTATATCCCCAGTACAATTTTACAGCCTTTTTATTGACTTCTCAGGAAGATAAATCACTTTGAAAATGAGAGGTGATCCCCAGGGGATCACACAAAATAGCAAATAACCAATCTTGTATGGAAGTAACCTGGCATCCACTGTCCATTATGCGCAGGTATGAGTGTATGAAAAACTTTATAAGCAATATAGAGAAAGAAGAAGAAAGATACGTAGAGTAGCGAGATATGACGCATCCCCTCTCAGATCCCCTCCCCTCCCCAGCGGGAATGTACGTGAACACGGGCCTAAAAATCTTCGAACAAACTAATCAGAATGCGCAGTCTGTTGATTATGTCTCTTTTGTTCTTCCATATAGGAATCGTTATGCTGGTACGCCATCGCGAGGCATATCTTGCTCCTTATGATTTGATTGAGGAGATTCTTTTGTAACGAATTTATGTTTTAACACGTTTCGGACCGCGAAATCCGAGAGGCGAAAAAGAGGGCTCTTTCAACCGTTAGCCAACAGAGACCTTATTTCGAATACTGTGTGCTATATCTGTAATGACCATTTCGGATAACCATACCCAAATTTCTAAGTGAATTCGAAGTGTTTGAATTTTGCCAGTTGAGAAGGACTTCTGTGCTTTTCTGATAGATAGGAACAAGAACTCAGTTTCTATTAGTATCCAAAAGTATTAATGTTGTGGACAGTACACATCAGTATTGAAACTATGGTTTTTCTCTTTGATATTGAAGCAAAGGAAAGTTGCGACGTCGCACGCGTCGTTCGCGTTGGCGCACTTCGTTGCAACTGCTGTTCGATTTGTGCTCATATCTCCTAAACAAATACCGGCGGCACAACTCTACAGAGTCATCTGAAAAAAAGCTTAGGCCTTTGACTTGATAACCTTGAACTAAAAGACCTCCTGTAAACGTCAAAAAGATCCTTAAAGGCAGTGGACAGGCAAAATGGACCCCTGTCAGATTTTGGTAGTTTCGGGTAGTGGACCCCCCAAGTACACCGTAGCCCCAACCCCACATTCCAATTCATGCGCTAAGTCCTGAAAAAAGCGCTTCAAACTTCCACCAATAACGCCCACTCAATGCAAGTGGGCGGGGCTGGTGGAGTTTTGAAGCGCTTTTTTCAGAACTTAGCGCATGAATTGGAATGTGGGGTTGGGGCTACGGTGTACTTGGGGGGGTCTACTACCCGAAACTACCAAAATCTGACAGGGGTCCATTTTGCCTGTCCGCTGCCTTTAAAGCAGCGTGCTGCACCATGTGCAGCACCGGTCCGAAATGTGTTTAGGTTGTCGTTAAGCTATGAGTGGTACCGTAGCTGGACTTTTCAGTAACGCTTACTTCCTATTCTTTCCACGGGCATATATAAAACTCAACCAGCTTCCTTAATAAGCATTTATCAAGCATATATATTAGGTCAATCCGAAAGTAGTTTCGCTTTTTTCAAACGGGCGCCACATTTAATCGAACAAAGGTTTCTAAGAGGTCTTGGAAGCATTCGACACAGAATTTCATTCTCTTTCTAATGTTCATGAAAATTTTGCAAAACAGTAATGAGCTTTCAGAAAATAACCAAAATTTGCGAACCATGCTCTTTGAGATGGTCAAGTTTCACGATTTTTTAAAACTTTCATATCAATCCTCAGAAGGAGTTCAAGTGACGATTCGATAGCGTACACCTTATAGAACACAGTATTACTTTTTCCTCTTTCTCTAACCTCGCAGTAATTTTTTAAAAATTTTCAACAAAACCATCGGATTTTGGCAGGCTCACATCGGCCACAATCGCATCAAACACCATGATTATTCGGAATTTGAGACTATCAAAATGGTACCATGAGTTAGCATTTTTACAAAGCAAGTGAGGGTTTACGGGTTCGAAATATCAAATTTCGAGTTTTTCGGTCCCTAAAAAAATGAGTTATGATGATTTTATCCCCGGAAACTAAACGAATCGGAAACAAAAAACACTGTTAGAAAGAGGAGAAAATGCTGCATTGAATGGTGCGCGAGCTGCTCTTCTTTCGATGTTCTACGAAAATTTGGCTGCCCAAGTATGGAAATCGGTAGCATCACTTAAAATTCTGTTAAAAAGGAATGACAAGATATGGAAAGGAGAAAAAAACAGTGCTGTATTCTATAAGGTTTACTCTATCGAATCGTTACTTGAACTCCTGAGGATTGATATGAAAATTTTAAAAAATCGTGAATTGACCATCTCAAAGAGCATGGTTCGCAAATTTTGGTTATTTTCTGAAAGCTCATTTATTGTTTTGCAATAATTTCATAACCGCTTGAAAGAGAATGAAATTCTGCATCGAATGCACCAAGATCTCTCAAAAACCTTTGTTCTATCAAATGTGGCGCTCGTTTGAAAAAAGCGAAATTACTTTCGGAATGACCTAATATAAACAAAGCATAGGATATAAAGGTGTAGCGGCAGACGGCAAAACAGGGCGGAATAAAAGTATAATAATAATTAGACGAGAAACGAGGTAGCGGATAAATAAGTGGCGGATAAATAAGTTTGAGACAGAGGGTAGCCGGGCAGGAGCTAGTGCTCCGGCTCAACCTTACATAAGCGTAGCAATATGATGGACGCGAATAAATTCGAGCAAATATACGGAGAAGAATAATAAGGAATAAACATACGATTAGAGATCAAATAAAAATAGAGGGCGGGTGACTAAAATGAGGGGGGGACGGAGATTAGGAGAACATCTTGTTGAAGAGGGAGCTGCGAACCTGCCTCAAGTCCGAACCTCTCGTGGGTGGGGCGTACTGCTTTATATAGCTCCGAGGCGGGGCGAGGGAAGATAGACCAATGGCGCAGATTTTCGCGCTTTTCCTACACTTTAGCCATGTGGCCCCGGACTGTCCACGTATTTTCCAGAACTCGCTTGGAATGCCGTTTGGACCAGTCGCCTTGCCATTGTTTGTTCTTCTTACAGCTAACCATACTTCCTCCTCCTCTTATTCTTCGCATAAATTTTCAATACAGGTGTATTTTGAATGTCGTGCAGAAGTAAAACTCAATACGGCCATATGGATTTTATAAAGTAGATGTGTTATAACGAACTGTGAAGAAATTAGATCGATTCAGGAGATAACCGCCAAGAATCAGAATTTCAAATAATAAAATTGCGAAAAATTGAGATCACCTTTCTATGAATCTGGTTATGGAGGTGTCAGCAACTGCGACTTCACAGGTTTTGAAGGGAACGCGTTGCTCTACCAGGTAGTGAAATAAGAATCTCGTTATGAGAATTCATCGCCGAGGACCAGACAAAAAATACGCCATATTCGGTTGCTTGATGACAGCTGACATTCCAAACCTGCAGTGGCGTACCCAGGATTTCCGCTCGGGGGGGGGGGGGAAAGCCGCGACAAAAAAATTTTTCGAATGAAGGTGCGTGGCGTTAGCCCACTCCGAAAAAATTTTAGGGGTGCTCCTCAAAATTTTTGCGGGTCCCCAACACCTAGAATCTGGAAAAAGTGGGCGATTTTTTTCACAATTTTTTTACAAGGCTAAATTGAATTTTTAAAAAATTTTTAAAAATTATTTTAATTATTTACAATTATAAACAAGTTACTTTCATATTTTTATAACCCATATAAGTAACTTTCAAAAATTTCGCGACCCATTCTCCATTCCCAGTGGCGCACGCCCCCCCCCCACCCCGCCCCCCCCCTCGGTACGCCACTGCAAACCTGTAAATATTGAGTATGGGGTGTGTGGTGTAGCAACTTCACAGCTTTTGTGGAGTAAGGTTTGCTCCATCAGACCGCACGTTAGCTGTGTCGTTCTACAAGGACATCTTCGAGAGCCAGGCCCTTGAAAGAAAGCTAAAAATGGGTTTTCATAGTTTAACACATACCTTCTCCATAACTTCGTGATCTCGGTTGCGACTTCATAGCTTAGAATCTCCTCTTCAAGAGCCTTCAAATGATAGATAACATGTGGAGGGCTTAAAGGCATTAAAGGTTTAAAGGATCGGCAAAATCCAACAACTCGGGATTTTAACGCGGTAGGTTCCTTATCGCCCAACTATGAAAACAGTGCAATCCCGGTTGCACAGCATGCTTTCCCTGCCGAAAAAATCGCTCTCGAACTTACACGCGCAGGCCAATCTTACACGCATCTGGAGTTGACAATTTCCTTCTCACCATTGGAGGCTGCCCGTCGCAACGCTATAACCATTGAGTCCTGCCACGGTTTAGCGTCATCGGCCTTGCTCCACTCGTTCAATATCAAAGGGAAGGGCATTAAAAAAACGCTCATTTTCGCCGTTTTCAAGCTTTCAAAAGTGGATTTTCGGGATCAGCGTATTGAAAAATCCCAGGTAAGCGCAAATTTGACTAGGTTGAGATTTGCCGAGCCACTGCCTTTAATGCCACCTACGACTATGTTAGGCTTGAGACTTTTCATCGCTGAGTCTCCTCTGCCTTCGCCAATCAAGAGCCTAGCACGTTCACTTTTCGCGCCTGGTAGCTGGGACCACCTTCGTTTGTGGGGGGGGGGGGGAGGGGGGGGGAGGGGGACCCGACTCCCTGTATCACCTCTGGTTAAAACCCTCAATCGTAGTTCTAATTCTAATTCAGTTCTAATTCATTCTAATTGAAACCCTAGCGATGGTGCAAAAAAACCAGATTGATTAAATGTTTCTACAAACTTCCATCAAACCTGATCAACGGAATGACCGACCAGTTTTGACTTTTGGATGTTCAGAATCTACAGACGCCCGTAACGCCGATCACATATAGAAATGAGTCATACGATCTTTATTACATCATCTCGCGCCACTGTTTCGCAGCATAAGTCAGGGCATAGACCACTTCTCTCTAACCTTTCCAGAATCAAACAAAAAGACAGAAAAGTGAAAGGAAATAAACAGATATGTAAACAACATTATGTATACCCTTATCAGAATCAAATTAATCAAGAGAAACGAGATCAAATAGAAGAGGAATGTGTTAAGACGGTCAAGACGAAGCAGTATATCACCGACATTTGATCTTCAATCGTAATTATGATATGTAAGATTTGCTTATCGAAAGCACCGTTCTGAGGAGTTACGCATCGACTTCTCTCCTTTCTTCTGCTTCCATTTCTTCAACACCCGAGAACGGTGTTTCACGCTTTTTGAAAAATTTCTCTCGCACCCATTTCAGTGTGACCCAATCGATTAACGCAGATTGGACACCTAGAAAATACAATGTCGTGGTAAGAGCCTTCATCGATACTCCACATCAAAAAATGATCTGAATTTGGACAAAAACTAGGCGTGCGCTAGGTACTCACCATCCAATATTGCTTTCGGCGTCGAACCTGTGATGTAATTACAGTAAAGAATACAGATTAGAAGTAGACAAGCTTGAGCTATAAGTACCGCCGGTTGATATCCAGCAGAATTGTACCAGCTCTGAATATGGAACACTGAACAACGTATTTAAGACGTAGGTAAGCAGTAAAACTATCTTTGTTAGAGTCAAGATCTTGAAAGCTATCGCTGCGAAAAATGACCTATGCATTGAGGAGCAGTTATTGGAAGTCTAACAGAATGAAGCGTAAACAAAGATAATCACAGGACTAGCACAAAGACTTCTGCAAACTTACTAAGGCACTGGCTGCAGCATGCGAAGCGGTTGCTGCAATTCCAGGAATGGCCCAGTATGGCGTCTTGTTCACTTTATGACATGAATCCCATATCTGCAGAGTGCGAGGTAAGAATAATCGCCAATTTGTTGGTGGAAAAAGGGAGAAGGAAAACAAACTGAGGTACCATAATGGTCCATGCAACATTGAACAGTGTTGTGAAGCATCCAGACAAAGCATAATATAACGGTAAGTTGGTCCCTGCTGAATTTACATCACGATGCCCCTCCTGGAATGAGAGCAGAAGTATTAACTTATTTCTATACAAGACAAGAATGTATCCTACCCTCATTGCTCGCGGGAGACCAATGGTACCAGGACCTGCAAACTCAGCGAACACATTCATGGTCAGAAGCAGAGCAGCCATGACGCCCATTCCAAGGCCACAAACCTTATAATTCAACCGATAATTAACAAGAAGATATATTACATGGCAAATTTACAAAAACGCGCAAAATTTGCGCGCATTTACTAGGATCAAGTTAGACATAACACTGAATTAAAATGAACTCAAAGCTCATAATGGAAAATGAAGCAAAAAGAAACGAAAAGCTCAATGTAAGCTTTTGGACTCACCAAGGCTAGCATGTGTCGAGCATTATGCAAGTCTGAAACTCCGGGTGCGATCGAAACGGAGCCAGGTTTGGTAATTTTGTTAAGACCACTGAAAACAACACTTTGTGCTCAGAGACTTTTTTTTAATGAAGAACCAAGCGGTTGAGACCACAGAGTGAGAAATAATTTGCGAAAGCATATCGCCCAAGAACGCTAACAAATATGGCGAAGCTCGAAAGCGCGAAAAGCTGAGTCAGAAATGTAAACAATTACTAGTTTCTCAATTAACAGACACGTTATGAGCGTACCGGAACCTTAAAGGCCAAAACGAAGATCTAAGTGAGCGTAAAAATTACTAACATCCCACTCACAAAAAAGAAACCCACCTTTGCGCTTTTTTAAGAAGCCAGAAGTAAAAGACCCGTGCTGCATCTTGCAGAATGATGGAGCAGAAAACCGCTAACGGAAGCGCATTCCAAAGCATAGAGATCGCCAACCAGATAAATGAAGACAGCAAAAGCGATGCGAGCCAAAAGAAAGCCCTGAAATACAATATGAGTACGAAATAGTAATCTATAGTTCAAAAGCCACTCACCCTAACACAAATAAAATAATTCTAAGCGGATCTTTGGCAACGAATCGACAGAAAAGGGCTGCCGCGGGTGAAAACGCTATTAAATAGCAAGCCACAGTCAACCAAACGCCCATTATTATCAGTCGTTGTAGTGAAGCAACTCCATTGGCTGAAACGAGTACAGGGTGAAAAGCATTCGGTTGAAGGTTAAACTTCACGAACATATTGAAGCGTGAAGATCAGGAAGAACGCAGCCGATCAAAGAGGCAACTTGAGAAACCAACAAAGCTAACGAACATCAACGACTTGCTATTCCTGGCTGAGGACGTGTTCAGCGCTCCAACAAAATGAATCACCAAAATGTAATGAGACTGCAGTTGTTTATTGTATCGAAATGCCTTTGAAACTCATCAAAAATCATCGATGAAAACCAAGCGTGAATACAAAACTAGAATCATGATTCTGCAGAAGCTAAAGAAAATTAGCATATTGTCTGTGCGGTTACACACAAACTTCAAACTGCACAAATCGGCATATACAGTAATAAAATAATATGGATTCAATAGGGACCAGCCATACTATTCCAGTAATTCCTGCAATTCCTGCGGTCTCTGTGGTTCCTGCGGGTGGCTCCATGTCAGGAGTCACGCCGCGCGCCGCGCCGCTTCGCCGCGCACGTCGCATCTAAATTTTGTACCCCATAAAACTGTCCGGTGCTAAAGTGGCACGGCGCCAGTCCAGGGGAGTAGGGGGTGGGGGCAGATACATGGCTCGTGCCATAAGTAAGACTGCGCCAGGAGTGCTGGCTTCTGTTTTGCTGCCATCGCTTGCGGCATCGCTTCGCGAAAAATTCGCGCCGACCGTGACTCCTGACCGTTCCCCCCTGCGGGTCACATCAATGTATATTGCGAAAAAACAGTGTATACTGAAATTCGCAATGCGCTTCGTAGTGCGGCACATTGGAAGTGGGGGAATCATGGAAATTACAGGAATAGCGGCAATCTCGCCTGAAATAATATGGCCGGTCCCATACTTCCCAAACTTGCTAATTACATGATCAAGCTTGTTCAAACAAAGTGTGCAAACCGAACTCACGTCTCCTAGTCACAGGACAGATATATAGTATGTAGATGGCAGGGCGGACCAAGGCCCCCCCCATCCGAGAATGAGCCGCAAAATTTTTGAAATTTACTTACGTGGGTTATAAAAATGTGCAAGTGACTTGTTTATTCTTCAAACAATTGAAAAATTTGTGAAAGTTCAACTAAGCCTTATGAAAAACTAGCTGGCTTGCCCGGCTCCGCCGGGCCTGCCAGCTAGACCCGTGTACGTATGTTCCGAATAGAAATTTTTATCTCTGAACCGATTGGGACCGAACTTTGCACACATACACTTCGCCTAGTAGCCTATGACACGCTCCCTGCCCTGAAGTATATGTGTGCCAAGTTTGGTCCCGATCGGTTCAGAAATAAAAATTTGTATTCGGAACATACGTACATACATACAGACAGACAGACATACAGACAGACATACAGACAGACAGACAAACAGACATTCAGCTTTATATATAAGATTTTTTCCGGGAGCGTGGCTGACGCCACGCACCTTCATATGGAAAATTTGCCGCCCCTCCCCGGACGGAAATCATGGGACCGCCACTGGTGTTTGGTTATCCTTACAGGCACTTCATCAATTTTTTACCCAGTGAAATGTGAATAGTGTTCCAAAAGTCCTTCAACGGAAGCCAGAAAGTCAAAATTCCTGTTGACACTGTTGGATACACTCGTTTCAAACTGTGTGTTCTACCTTATATGTTTCTCATCGAATTAAAGGTTTTTGAGCTTGAAAGAACTCTTAGAAGGTATGCTCGACTCCCAGATTCGTCGAGACGGATTACCGGGGAGGCCATTCCCTAATTACAATACCGATCATAATTCGTCAAAAAAAGTCGCCGGAGTGCGGCGCACTCCGCCACACTCCGCCGCACTCCGGCGCACTGCCGCGCACTCCGCCACACTCCGACGCACTCTAGCGCTTCCGCCGCACTCCGCCACACTCCGACGCACTCTAGCGCACTCCGCCGCACTCCGGCGCACTGCGCCGCACTCCGCCACACTCCAATGCACTCTAGCGCACTCCGCCGCAGTCTGGCGATTTTTTTTTGACGAATTTTGAGCGGTATTGTAATTACCTAAACCGGGTTTTTTGACCATAACTTGCTTCAAACTGCATATGAGGGGCTGAAAAAAATATGGTATGTATATGTGTGTGAGTCGTGTCTAACATGATTTTTGGGGGAATTACGGAGCAACATTGGAGGTGCCGATTTTACGTCCTGAGCATGCATGTTGGGGGGCTAATAACTCTGTGAATACTACAGCTACTGGGCTGGAATTTGTTTTGTTCGACAGATCTCTGAAAATATGATTTTTAGAGAGAAGGTAGTAAAAGAACAAGTTTCCAAGAAAAGTGCCTAATTGACAGTCGAAGTTGGGAAATCTGTCAATAAGGGCGATGTGCCCTTATATCTCTGAGAGTTGCAGGGCTGGGGTAATCTCATACAGCCATTAACGTGTAGTTTTGGTAGCTCTATTTTTCTATGGGTAGCTCATACCCATAGCTCCAACGTAGGAGGCGCTATATAAAGGCGATGATGCATATTTTGAATTTTATCTCCGTGGAGAGTGGGGATGACGGGCTGGGATAGCCATTCTTCTATTCGTATTCGGGGGGGGGGGGGGACACCACATATAATTCGGAGAAAATGCAGGGGCTCCGCCTGTGGGAGCCCATCTACAAACCTTGACGGACTTTTTTTTAGTTCAGGGTCTCGCAATTTCTCACTTTTCTCTCCCCTCATTTTCCCCTCTCTCTTTATTTGCGCAGCGCGTGTGATAGTTACCCGCGGCCATCTGGACCTGGTTAGGGGGCTGAAACCGGCTAGAAAGGGGTAAATAAGCTTAGAAAAACGCGATTTTTCCTTATTTCTCCTCATTTTTCCTTAATTTTTCTTATTTTCTTCAATTTCGATCGTGATGTGGGGGTATAAAGTGGGGGGAGCTTGTTTGGAGGAGTTTTAGCTGTGTAAAAGCGCTGAAAGTGAGGTTATTTTTGGCTTTTTCGAATCTTTTGCTTAGTTTTTCGCTCATTTTGTAGAGTTGGGAGGAAAAGGGGGAAGAGCTTCATTTGAAGGTGTTTGGGTGAAGTGGGCGGGGCTTCGGTCGGTGGATTAACAGTTTTGCAGTGGTTGATGGGGATTTGGTGGTGCTCACAATGGGAAAGTCGTGGCTGTTTGAAAAGAAGTGGGCGGGGCTTTCGGTTGAGTGGGCGGAGTCTTGTGAAGTGGATGGAGCCTTGGGGTCTAAAGGTGAGGGTGTAAATCTCCAAAACTGGCAAAATCGAAGTTTTTGAGGTTGCGAAATGTCCAAATTCTCCAAATCTCCGATTTCATCGATTTTTGACAATTTTCGAGATATTGCAACCTCCAAAATATCGATTTTCGCCAATTTTCGGAATTTCGCAACCTTCAGAATAATTTTATCGATTTCGCCAATTTTCGGTATTTCGCAACTTCCAGAATGTCGATTTTATCGATACAATTTTCGGGATTTTGCAACCTCCAAAATATCGATTTTCGATAATTTTCGGGATTTCGCAACCTCCAGAGTGTTGATTTTATCGATTTTTGAGGTTTTGATAGTTCTCTAACCTCAAAATATCGATTTTATCGCTGTTTAGCTGTGAACTGTAAGCCCCCCCCCCACTTTTGATATTATCATACACCTAATATATGTATATATCCTTCCACTCACTTCATATAGCCTTTATTTGAGTTTTCCAGCATGTAATCTAGCAGATTTGAAGAATTTTGGATTTTGTACACTGTGTAGCTGTGAACTTTAAGCCCCGCCCACTCTTGAAGTTGTCGTATACCTAACTCATGTATATTTTTCCCCAATCACTTCATTTAGTCTTTATTTGAGCTTCCCAGCTTGTAATTTGACAGAACTCCACAATTTTGAAGATATACAGTGAATAACTGTAAATTGTAAACCCCGCCCATTAAACCGATCTGAAACACAGCTCCTTGTATTCTACACTTCAATTACCACTATTCTGTCTTTGTTCGGCCTCTCTGGTTTGAAAATTGGCTGAATCGTGGTTTTCCAGGTCATACGCAAACATGCAAAGTTTTGAATTTTTGACTGTCAACTGTGAGCCTTGCCCACTATTAGAGAACCGGAAACACAATTTTTTCTATTCTCCATTCGAAACTCTATCAAGTACTCTTTACCTCGCCCTTGTATCTTGAAAACGCGCTGTATTGTAAATTTTTGAAATGCCTACATTCGTACAAAATTACCATCCATCATCGAACGTAATCGCTATTGATCTTCCGTATGGAGTATGCGAATCGGTCAGAAACGTATCGGGACAAGCTTTGGTGACGAATCAAAAGCTTCACTGAAACCCGATGAGTTGCATTGAAATACACTTCTTTTCAAAAATGATCATTTCAAAAGCGATTTTCATCACTTCACTGACGGATTTCGGTGGTGCGATGGTAACCAAAAGATTCAGCACGAAAAACTCTATCGAACATTTTTTTACTCCTTGAGTTACGTTCGGAAGTGACCAAGTTACAGATTTTTGAAGAATGCTACTTTAACCGAGGATTTTCACTGTTCCACTGATAGATTTCGGTAGTGCGATGGTAACCAAAAGATTCAGTATGAAAAGCTCTTTCGAATGCCTCTTTACATGTTGAATTTCGTTCAGAACTGACCAAGTTACAGATTTTTGAATATTTCACCTCATGTCTTACCTGGACATATACAATACCGATCATAATTCGTCAAAAAAGTCGCCGGAGTGCGGCGCACTCCGCCAGACTCCGCCGCACTCCGCCACACTCCGACGCACTCTAGCGCACTCCGCCGCACTCCGCCACACTCCGACGCACTCTAGCGCATTCCGCCACACTCCGACGCACTCTGCCGCACTCCGGCGCACTGCGCCGCACTCCGCCACACTCCGAAGTACTCTAGCGCACTCCGCCGCAGTCCGGCGATTCTTTTGACGATTTATGAGCGGTACTGTATGAGGACTAGCGACCCTGGGGGTCGCTATAAGTGGATCGAAGCAGATGCTCGAAAAGTTTCTGCATCTGAATGTCATCTTCCTGCATACTCTTATGTGTTCCTGTACTGATGCTCTACCTTGACCTTTAAGCCTTTTCCTTTTGCGAGAATAGAGTCAATAACTCGCTTTTCTACAAGCATAAGTGAAGTCTCCCCACGAAAACGCTTGCGATGCAGATTTTTATAAGATTTCGGAAAATCTGTGAGATGGACTTCCCGAAAAGGTTCCTCTCGCTGGATGGCCTCCATCAATGAGACCCTCACTCACATGCTTCAGCAAGAGAAAACAGAATTTCCTCAAATAAGCGCTCTCAAAACAAGTTTTTTCCAGTGATTTTGCGAATATTCGGCGATACCACGTCACTTCCCAACAATGACCTCTCCGAAAAGCCGGGTCCGCCACCGACAAGACCGTTTACTCTTATGCTTTTCTTTGCACAAATTTTTTCCCGGTAAATGGTCTCAAATCAATGGCCGAATCTTGCAAATTATCGGTGAAACGAAGCGATTACAATTCTTTATGACAGGCGCTTGCTCCACCAGCCAAATCCAATCACTCACGCTCTCCTTTATACAAAAGAAGATCTCCCCATTTGAAGCCTTCACCAGAGTGACCTACTTACTCAAGCTTTGAATTCCCCAAGTAGAAGCTCATCTCCACTGGAGAGAAAGATTTATTTGAATGCTTTCCTCTCTTCAAGGCAGATTCCCTCAAGTAAGCGCTCGTTTCCGACAGCCCTTCCTGCAGGATTAGGAATGTCTTCCCTAGAGAAGCTCATTTTATAACGCCCGCGATCCCGCACACACGTTACAACTCCATTCACACAGGCGGACGTCATGATTCTCAAAAGTTTCCATGAATCTCAAACCTTCGATTATATTTTAAATCGATTTCTTTTCTTCTTCCAACAACACCTAGAATCAAAATAGCCACATCTTTATCTTTAAGCACTAAAACGACACGCACAAATACACTAATCGTAAGATCACGACTACATATGAAGCACCAAATATGTATGAGGGGGTGGAGGACATTAGGTCGCCGAATTTGGAAGAGTCCCGCGCGGATTCCCTGCAGGAACGCATGTCCGCGCATGTACAAGGGTGCGTATTCGGCGACCTAATGTCCTCCACCCGTATGAGGTGTAGGCATATAAGATAAGTGAGGTACAAATACGTGAGAGGTAATTGAGATAATTACTACCCGATGACTCATTTCTACACTACTGGCCGCCAGGCCCCTTCGGCGGCGTAGGATGGTGTGCTATCCCTCGAGGCGGAGGAGCTACTCGCCCTGCAGCCGGATCTCTCCGCTGCAAAGCTAAGGCTGCACCTTCAGCCTCGGACAAACTTGCACGTTGGTGCATGGAATTTTTTAGCGAGCACCACCACATCCTATACCCTCGAAAGTTCCGGGCCCCGGAAGTAAAAAAATCTACTCGGTATCATCCTCGGGCTCGGGTAGTGGCAGTGGCTGTAAGGGATAGCGATCCACTAGGCAGGCGCCCGTAGGGTGATTTGGACTCCGGTGTATACGGCATCAAATCGGTCGCTGACAGCTTCATTATGCAGCCGAGCGCACCTTATTGAGACCGTACACCGGAATGGTGGCCATCGGAGGAAGGGAGGTGTTTGGGCATGACACTCATGTGTTAGGTAGGTGTTGTTGTGACAGACCGTACAGGTTTGGGTAGGGTCATCGCCAGCTGACTCTTCGGGGAACTCGTAGCGGTCTCCAAATCCTTCTGTTGAGTACCACACTAGTTCCATGCTCCTTCCTCGTTCCTTCGTAGAAATATCCGAGATAATGCCACTCATGTGAAGGCGATCTCTCTCTCTGCTCCTCTTCTTCACGTTGTTCTTCTTAGAAGTACTGCTGATAGGACAGATCTCTGCTGAAATCCATCGGCTCGACTGCCGGCCAGTCATCTCGTTTGGAGGGGCTGGTTGTTCGGGTTGTGGTTAGTCTTCGGCCCTCTGAGATATCATTTCAGAGGGCCTTCGGAGCGGGTAACCCTGTGCTTCAAGTGTTAGTTCCTCCCGCCAGTCGTCCATAAGTGAATCCGACTTGGATGAGTCCGAGTCATGCATTGACAAAGTGTCCCACACGGGGGCTTCATGAAGATTTTTGTTACATCCGGGTTTCGGATTCGGAGTCATCTAAAAAGATTTACCCTAAAATCCGGCATATAAGATCGCCTCGCAGTAAAGACCGCCTCGCCGATAAGACCGCAAAAGAGCTCTCAGTTAAGTCCGCTTTCGTGACAGCTTCGCGCGCCTCGCGCGCCGCCAAGTCCCGCGGATAAGTCCGCCTTATTTTTTTCACATGAAAACAAGAAGGATGCGCAAATTGCGCTGCCTTTTTTGGTCTCAGAATGAACCGAAGCAACAGATCTTTATTCAGGTAGCATTTCATGTTCATCATCATCAAAATCAAAAGAACGATCATCATCAGCGTTATCATCAGCAACAACCAAAGCGTCGAAATCCTCTTTCATGGCATTGGTCATTGATTCGTCATCGAGAGCCCTGGTAAAACTGTTCGCAATGGTCTCTTCAGTAATCGCATTGAAACTCTCGTAGACTAGTGCTGCTACTTCGCCGTAGGTCATCCTTTTCCTGGCGCCGCCTGTTGTGTCTCGTGCTGAATCGGTCATCCATCGCTCCCATCCCGCCCTCAGATTGTCTTTGAAGGGCTTGCTGATGCCGACGTCGAGAGGCTGTAGATATTTGGTCATTCCGCCTGGAATGACCGCGATCTTTGAGTGCTCCTTGAAAAGCTCTCGGACGTCTTCTCTGAGATGGCACCTTAAAAAAGCAAGATAAGCTCAAAAATGGTAAAATACGAAACGATACCTTGCAGAATCCAATATCAGCAACTGGTAGGGATCGTTGACATAGCGTTTCCTTTTGTTCCACACCTCGAGGAGCCATGTCTTCATCAGTTCGTGATTCATCCAGCCTCTTTCGTTGGCACGCTCAATCACTTCAGGAGGGAAGTTATCCTTTGGAACCCTCTTTTTCTTGAATATTATCATCGGTCTTAATTTCTCTCCAGCGGCCGTCGTAGAGAGGACGACGTTAAAATTCGACTTTTCATGTCCTGTTGAGTCTCCCACTTGATCCACGGTCCTTGAATAAAACATATCGAAGGGCACTGGGATTTCATCGACATTGCCAAGATTGTGGGGGGAGATGTAAAGCGATTCCCTTAGTACGAATCTCCTGAAGTCCGCGCAGATGTCCTCGCAATCCTCCGGAAGTGCTTGACCGACACTGGTTCTTCGCCTCAGAGATAGGTTCTTTCTCTTCATGAAACGTCTGCACCACATCGGCGATGCCTTGAAGTCCTGGTGGCCAAATTCCCTCGCTAGCTGCAATGCCTTCTCGCGAATGTTCTTGACAAGAAGTGTTCGGCTTCCTTCTCGCACAATCCATTCATGGAGAGCTCCTTCGACTTCCTCCACTTTTGGCTTCCCATAGCGGTTGGCACGTGGCCTCAGTGGCCTATCCTCTAAATTTTCTTTATCGGCCTTCCATCTTCTAACCAGACGATCAGAGACTTCGTAGCGAACAGCGGCAGCCAATGTTCCATGTTGCAGGGCATATTCCACCACGTTAAGCTTAAAAAGCGACGTGTAGGACTTCCTTCTGGGAGCCATTGAGATCCGAGATACCTGAACAGCTTGAGTCACAGCGTGTGAGACTATGTTGGAAATATAGGGCTCTGCGTGGCGAACTTCGCTGAGTTAGCGGTCATTGCTTACTGGAATCACGCGGAGTCCTATAAATTTGTGCTGATCATCGAAAGGTTTACTCTTTTACAAGAAAAAGCAGGCGGCGTCAAATTTGACTACACTATCTTTTGTCTTGGATGTACAGGCTTAATGAAACAACAGATGAGAAAAAGAACAAGGAAGCCTAATGCTTTGCTAAGGTTGAGCATTCTCAGGCTGTCACTCTTCCGTTCAAGAAAGCATTTGACAAAAGCCGTATGGCATGGGTCAACAGAGACTACGTTCAGAACATGAAAACAATAGAGGAAGCAAAAAGTATAGGAGTCAGGTTTAAGGGTTGTAGCCTGTACGGGTTCGAGAGATGTATTAAAAACATTGTAGCTTCCAAAACGATAAGATGAATGATAAGATGAGATGATTGCAATGATATAATGAGAAAACCTATTATGATTTTTCGGACAGAAAAATTCCATGTGTACAAGCACTGTCTTATATAGGAAAAGAACCCACCAGCGTATGTGATGACCAATCCGCGACGAAACTGTCAGCAATTAGACTGCACGACTTGTCGAATCCTTTGGCGGTCTCTTTTAGGGGAGTTCACGGCTTGATTCCAATCGCTGAAACATGTGATATCCAGAACAACTTCTCTGTAGCCTTTTGCAAAACTACGAACCGTTTGTGTCTTTGTACTTCGTCACTTACTGCTTGGAACAGAGTATGCGCGACGATCAGCGTTCTAAAAAAGCTTTGTAGGAGATGCATGTACTGTAGTTAGCCTATATCATAAACCTCCCCTGCCTAATATTCCTGAAAATGGGGTAAAATCCTACCTTACTATCGCGTCATCAATTCCAACACACAAGAAATGTTATATCTAAGAAAAGAACTCACCTATCCAGCGTATATGATGACAAATACTCGGCGAAACTGTCAGCAACTAGTCTGCACGGCTTGTCGAATACTTTGGCTCTTCCTTTCAGGCGATTTCGCGGCCTTGTTTAAATCTACACCGGCAGGCTACGCGGGCGGTCGCGCGCGTTTGTGCTCCTAGGTCGCGCTTGCTCATGCTCAGGACAGACGGACGTATCTGCGAGAGGATTTAGGCGGACTTATCTGTGAGACCTTTTGCGGCGTTTTTCCATCGATTTTCCTGCCAAAACTGCAGATAAGTCCGTTCTTATATGCCGGATTTTAGGGTATGTACAATGCAGGTGGAATAAGAATTACTGATTAGTTTACAAATTACAGCAACTATAACTTTATTACACATAACTATAATCACTTATGACTATTTTGATGCAATTATCTATAACCATATCGATGCAATCAATACTTATGACTATGTTGATGATGTTAGTACATATCACAGAAACGTAATCATTCTGCCCTTATTTGTTGATGTGGACGCGCGAGGGTGCATACAGTCGCTTCATTTCATATGATCATGTGTGTCATTGCACACACAGTTCACCTTTGGCGTCCCCATCCTGGATTCGTGGGAGAAACAAGCCTTCAGGTAAGTGTTTCGAAGGTGTTCTTAGCATTTTCTTTCCTTTTTAGTTACTAGTCGCCTCAAATTGATGTAGTCGATAACAATCGGTAAGTCTCTTGCGTTTTTGCGATTGCAAATCCAGGATGAGGACGCCAAAGTGGACTGTGTGTGCAATGGCACACATGATCATATGAAATGAAGCGACTGTAATTGGGTGCGCGGTGTCGACGGTAAGCGTATGCGACGAGCCGAAAAGTGCAGATAGCGGATTAGCGCGGCTGTTTGGAGAGCTAGGATCAACAGCGCAGCGAATACATCATCCCATTCGATGTTGTTCGGTTTGATTGGCACGTCCATTGACCATTGATGTTGTCCTTCGTCTTCATTTTACCGTATTGGGCGTGATTACATTCTCAGCGCTATTGGGGTGATTAAAGACTTGTAGATATCCCCTTGCACTGTGGGTGCTTTTGTCCACATTACTCGGTAGTCATTTAGGTGTGTATTGGTACCTCACGTAGTTGTAACAAGGGTGAGTCGTTGGCTGGAATCGGGGGGGGGGGGGGGGGAGGGGGAGGAGAAGAGGGATTATTGATATCTTTTGTCCTTGATGTGGTATCGGGGGGGGGGGGGGGGAGGAGGAGGGAAGAAAGGTTGGTATTGTTTAGCTGAATCGGAGGGATTCGATTGGTGAAAAGAGTTTACTAATGTCCGGCTGATAATAAACTTTTGCACGTTTCATATGCACTTCACGCGTTCGTCTTCCGTCACGAATAGTAATGATGGGACGATTGATGTTAATAATTTCAAAAGGCCCTTAACCGAGATGTAAGTTTGTTTCCAGTGTTTCCTGATCATCACCTTTTGTCCCAAAGTGAAATCCTTTGGTGAGGTCCTCTTTCTGAGAGTGTATTGATGTGTTTGATTCTCTTGAGAGTGATCGATGTTGTGATGGACTTCCTCAAATCTTCTTGAGTGTCATCGTCAGTTGATCAGCGTAATCCTTGTCATCAACAAACTTTTTGGTGGGAAGTTGCAAAGCAACACGGAAAGGGTTTTGGGTTCACATCCATGAATCACGCTGTGAGGGGAGTGCTTTATTGTTGAATTATCCATGGTGTTGTAGGCGCATGTTATCATTGAATGACACTATCCCATCTGTCCGGGTGATCCTTGATAGCCATTGAAATAAGCTTCTGGATGGTGCGATTGGCCACTTGTCAGTTGCTCTCATGATGGTAAGGGGTACTGGATTTTTGTTTATTCCCAACATTTTGAGCATTCTCTCGGAAGTGTCGCTCGTGTAGTTGGATCCTTGATCGGTAACAAGTTGTTCTGGGGTACCGAATCGAGCAGTACAGCGATTGACGAAAGTGTCATCAGTTGTTTCCGCTTTCTGATCATATCGGTTCTGCGATGATATATTTGGAGAAGGATCCACGAAAACGATGATGAACTTGTTTCCTTCTAGGGTGAGAGGTAAGGGTCCGACGACGTCTGAATGGACTCGTTGCAATGGTCTAGTAGATGTTTCAAATTGATGAAGGGGCTCGTTTATGCGGTAGGCGCTGGAATTTTTTCGGGCTTGATAAGTTGGGTGATTGATGACGTGATTGTGAACATCCTTCCGCATGTTATTTCAAATCGCTAACTTAGATACAGCTGTCGTCGTCTGCCCTATTCCTAGATGAGCGAATCCAAAGTTTGAAGAATGAACTTAGGTTATGAGTTGATGTTTCAAAGTCGAGTCTTCAAGTAAAACTAGCCTAGGATCTTTATAAAGACGTACAAGGATACAATAGAGAAGGTCATCGAGGAGGATGTATTCTGAAAACTCGGGGTAGTCACAATTATCCCGTAGGGCTTCTTTGTATTCCTTGATCCATAAACAATTTTCTTGCTCTTTTCTAGCTGTGAGAATAGCTAAGTCTTTAGAGCTAGGGTCTTGAGGGGCTTCGATATTGTTGCTTCTGCAGATGACGATATAGGGTGTCGCATATAGCACTCTTTTTCCCAGGGCGATATACAATTTCAATGTTGTACTCCTGAAGTACTATTAGGTTGGTGCAAAAGTAATGGCCGATTTGCGAATTCTCACTTTGACGTGCTATAACTTTTGGAAGAATTCACATTTCCGAATGCGGTAAAAACTATCAGAAGCAGCAAACCTTCTGCAATGCAGCGCGCATTCATTTATACTCATATCACGAACGGGCAGAAAAATATGGATTGAAAAATAAAAAAGGTTCTTCTGCTAGAACCTTGTCTTTGACAATTCATATCTTCCTTCAAAGTTTGTTAGTATAAATGTTAAGTAGCCTATCTTGTAGCCGCAAGCCAGTAGTACAAAACGCAATAAAAAGAATTCGGACAGAAAAGTTTGCGAAAAAGAAAAAAATTGAAATTTGAAATTTCTCCCTTTTTTGAACATTTTTTTCAGTGTGCCTCAAAGTACCGAATATAGAATTTTTTGATTTTCTAGGTACTAAACAGCTGGATGTTTTTGCAAAAACTGCTATCAGGATGCCCTAGCCCTACGCTTACAGAATTGAGCAAAGCTCCGGCGATTGACTTCTTCAGAAGAAAATTATGGGTCATAAAATGACCGCAACAGCTACCCATGTTTAGGCGCCGATATCTCAGTCTGGATAGCTTCAAAGAACACAGTCAAGTATGCATAATGTAGACAATTTCTATTACATACAATAGCTAAATTTTCGAAGAAATCCCATTGATACGCGCTTAAATTCTGGCCGGAAAAGTGAAAGCAATAAAATTCTGAATTTGGATGCGGTTATTTGAAGCTCACAAGGGAATGGTCAGAAATCGAAGTGGCCATTCCAGAAAGCTGCCTAGCGTTAGATGCAGCATGAAGCGCTGACTTTAAATCTGTCTTCTTTATCTGCTTATCGCT